GGCAGAGAATCACCATCAGTGGCTTTCAAGTCCCCTGAATACTCTCAGTGCTACTGGGAGTCAACACTCTTACATTAAAAATAAAAATGAAAATCCTACAACATTGGTATTTTATTCTAAATATAGTGATAGCACAGCGGGTAGGGCGTTTGTCTTGTGCACGGCCGGCCCGGCCGAGCTGGGTTCGATTCCTCCACCCCTCTTGGAGAGTCTGGCAAGCTACCGAGAGTATCTCACCCGCATGTCAAAGCCTGACAAGCTACCCGTGACATATTCGATATGCCAAACACAGTAACAACAAAGTCTCACAATGAAGGCGTTACTGGGCCCGCTTGACAAATCTATGAACAACGGGAGGACAATGACAGTGACATATTTATAAATGAAAAGAAAACAAACATTAAAGTGATTATAACTGATTCATTCCCAGATAGCTCCTCCACTGTCATTCAGAGACTAGTTTTCATAGGTAGCCTCTTTTAGTTTGATGAGGAGACACTGTTGTTTTATTATGTAATAGGTGTTACTTACATTTGATGCTAATGGGGATGTAATGAACTCTCCATGGTGGAAGAGCTGGTGGAAAGACAGGAATGAATGGAGGAGAGAAGGATCTGGGTGCCCAGCAGTCTTGCTCCAAGAGAAATGACAGTGAGTCCCTGAGAGGAGGGAAAAGGGATCCATCTGGACACTTGTGAGCTATAAAAATGTATCAAACTCCAAAAGTGAGCTTAGAATCTATTCTGTACTGAGAATGGATCCATTCTGGAAAAGACTGGGGTGAGGGTGGAGACACAGACCCCCTGCAAAGACACGTTGGTTTAAGATGATTATCATGATAAAGACAACCACCACCACCACCACCACCACAATAATAACGATGATAATACAAACTGCAGTTGGTTTGAGCAAAGTTCAAGGAAACGCCTGGAAGGAGGAAACTGGCTGTATTATGATGAACTCCCTTTTAAGAAATAAAGACTCTAAACAGTTCCAGGGCTTTTGGATTTTACAGACAACATAAAATATTGTTTTCGGAAATAACACTAGTACCTTACTTTTTTTTTGTTTCCAAGTAAGGACCCTTATTTGACCAGAATTTGTCATTACCATTGTTCTAGTATTTTACTAGAGAGAAAAAAAAAAGGCAAATGCTAGTCTTACATCTCTACCCAATTCTTAAAAATTAAAGGCACTCAGCTTTATGAAAACCATGGGACACAGATCTAATTTTTATCAATTTTCCAGGGTTACTTTGTCACTAACCAGCTGGTTCAGATTACTGTCTTGGGATGCTAGAAAGATCTACACATTTCCAAGATTGTATTATTTATCATCCCCAGAGAAATTCATATTGCTTTTATTAACTGCTTTACAATATACAAATAGGAAAAAGGAAACCAAAGCTGAGAGATGGTTTGAAAATAACAAGACAAAGACATGTATGTATGCCAATTCTGGTTTTTTTTTGGGGGGTGGTGAAGCCAGATTCCTATTATTATGGTCTCTCTGTGTGTGTTTGATTCAATTTTCAGAAGAGTCTGATGGGTGAACGCAGCAGCCCCCAGAGGACTGGCCCATTTGAGCCTTTTCTTGTCCTGTTAGCACTGAACGGCACAGAAAACCCAGAGCACAGAGAGTAAAAGTGGCTAATCACGACTTCAGTGAATGCTTTGAGTTCCCAGCAAAAGAATTCTTTGTTAAAAAATAATTTTTATTTAAAGAATTGTTATTTACATAGTTATTGATAGTTGATTTTTAGGCATAATAAAAGGTAAAGGCCCTCCCGTTGATCGTCGATTTGCTCGAGCGGGCCCAGTAACCTCTCCATTGGAGACTTTGTTGTTACTGTGTCTGGCATATCAAATACTCTCGGTAGCTTGCCGGGCTCTCCGAGAGGGGCGGAGGAATCGAACTCAGGTCGGCCATGTTGGCCGCTTGTAAGGCGAACGCCCTACCCGCTGTGCTATCGCTCCAGCCCAGGCATAATATATTTCAATATCAATCCCACCACCAGTGTCAACTTCCCTCCACCAGTGTCCCCATATTCCATGTGTTTCCCGACTCCCCACCTCTGGTCACTTGGGTTGGGTATATTACACAGTTCCAGTGGTTGCTGCTTAGAACTCATGCTTTCAGTATTATTGTTGAGTTGAGCTAGAGAGAGAGGAGAGGGGAATAAGGTGTTTTCCTCACATGTGGCAATCCCAGTTTGATCCTTGACACCGCCGAGTATCTCCAGAGAGGGAGCCCTGAGCACAGTGCCAGAAAGTAGGCCCAGAGTGCAGCCTGGTGTTCACCCACCCTGGTGTTCACTCCCCCTCCCCCAATTCTTGGTGATTGTAAAAGAATGTGGTACTTGCTGAATGGCCCTTTGCAAATCTGTCTGTCATTTCCAGTACATTTGGTTCTTACGAACTTGCCCACAGTTTCATTTATTTTGGGCAAGAATAGAGTTGGATCTTAAATGTGGAAGTCAGTTTGATCTTTTCTGGGTGTGACTACAGATTTTTTTTTTTAAATGAAAAACAAGTTATGTTTTGGATTGAACCCAGGGCACTAAACATATGAGGTATGGTTTCTATCATTGAACCACATATTCAGTCCCAAGAAGAATTATTTTTAATCAATATGAGGACTGGGAATACGGTTCAATGGTTGATGTCCAGCACTAAAGGAAAAAAAAAAGACTTTTTTAACCCATTTTTTCATTTGTTTTAGAAATTGATCACTTTCCCCCTACTCACCAATATATTAAACTAAGAATATTTCTTATTTCCTCATTTATTTCAATAATTATCTTGTCGGAGTTGAAGCAATAGTATTACAGTATTTATGTGGTATGCTGTTGACCCAATCTATCCCCAGCACCAAATATGATCCTCTGAGCACAGTGAGGAGTGACTCCTGAGCACAGAGTCAGGATTAGCTGCTGAGCACCAATGGGTTTGACTCCCATCCCAAGAGAGCTTTATCTTTAAATCATCTGTAGAATATAAAGTAAGCTATAAAGATTAGGTCAACCTATGCGTTGATCACTTATAAGATATCCTAGCCACATTCCCATCATTTAAAAAACAATTAGTTGTCTCTTTTAAAAAATCACGCCCTACCATACACCGCAGTTCGTGGTCTAAACTAAATTTCCTCTTCCAGAAACTGTCCTCAACCAGTTTGTGTATGATCACAGATTACCCTCTGGTGCTAGCTGAAGATTTTCCATTTACATTTTGTAAGGGGCTCTGTTTCTTATTTTGCTTTCTTTAGTAAAGACAAGGATTTAGGCTTGTCATTACACGTGTTGTAAACAGACTTTCACTGACTAATATTGTTTGAAGTCTAATTTTTAAAGTCTGGGAGTCTGGGAGGGGTAAGGGCTGGGGTGGGGTGGAGAGGAGGTTTGGGGAAGGACACCAGCAGGTGGCGCTGATCTCTTCCGTCAGTTGGGGTATCTCTCGGTTTACAACCCTTAGGGAATTAAGGGCGCCCGTGCTTGCAATCCATGCACGTGACCTCCAGCAATTTGCCAGACGTTAGTAGGGTGCCCGTGAAATGCCCAGCCTGTGTGTCTGCGCCATCCCCTTTCGGTTCTACCACCGGAAGTCCGGCTCCCCTACCCCAGGAGTTGGAGTTGTTTTATTTTCGTACTTGATCTCCAGCCCTACTCCTCCAGGCCAGGTACCTTATAGGAACTATAAGGCATCGGGTAATAATGCAACAATAAAGACCCGAGAGTTGAAACTGAAACTTTGACTAGGAGTGGGATTTTTTTTTTTTAAATCAAATTGACCAGCTGCAAACTCCGAGGTGCCTGCCTCGGTCAGGGCAGAACACGAATTGTCTTCCAAGCTATCAACTCCCCTGCACCACAGGGATCAGGCCCGTGCACAGACTCAAAGTGAAATTGAGATTTTATTGGCTGGGTTGAGGTGTGTGTGTTGGGGGTCACCGACTTCCTAACTTATATATTACCACCCCATTTCTGGGCCCAGCCAGTCATAGCCTCCAGGCATAGTTTAAAAAAAAAAGTACTAAAACCCATATAACACGACAAACAAAACAAACAACCCTCATAGGGAAAGTTCTCTTTCCCCGGGTGTAATTTTCCACGGCAGCGCAGAAAACGTTCTGCTTCCCTGTGTATGCCCGCGGCCAGTCAAACAGCTGCAAGTTCGAATCCGGGGTGAGCCAAGTTCCTTACAGTTTCCCTGCTCCCGGAGTTGCTGGATGATGAATCAAATCATGGATGTCGACCAGAACCGGACTCATTTTGCAATGCGCCTCCCCCTTGCCTCCCCCCAGCCCCTCCGCCACGCCCCCGCCCAAGCCATCCACCAAGGCTCCCGGGTTGGACGGCGGGATAAAAGCAGCCTGGTGGGGGTGCAGGGTGGGAGGGGATGGGGTAGTGGACGCCGGATCAAAGAACCAGACTCCTCTGGCCAGTGGAGATCGCCTCTCACCTACCTTCCCGAGCGGTCCCTTGCCTTTTCATTCCCCGCTTCCCAGACCTTCCTTCGAGCCTCCTCTAGACCCCTGACACAGTCTAAAAAAAGAAAAGCCGGCGGCGAGCGGGGCGGGGAAGCGGGCGCAGGCGTCCAGCCTCCTCCTCCTCCTCCTCCTCCTTCTCCTCCGCGCGCCGGGGGCTGGCGGGGCGGGGCGGGGCGCGGCGGCGGCGGCGGCTGCTTCGGGGCCGAGCCCGGCGGGCCGCGCTGACAGTTTGGGGCCGGCGGAGGCGGAGGCCGCGGGGAGGTGGGAGGAGACAGTGCGCGCTGCCCGCCGCCGCCGCCGCGCCGCAGTCCCGGGCTGCCGGGGGACAGGAAACCTTCGAGCCCCGCTGCTCCGCCGCCGCCGCGCCCCCCCTGCACGCGCCTGCCACACCCTCCTCCTCCGCCTCCAGCATCTTCGGGCCGGGCGCCGCGGCCGGGACTGGGCGCGGGCTGACGCTTCTCCCTTCGGCACCCCCAGCGGGGGGCGGAGAACTGTGACCCCCCCCCACCCGCCCCGCCGCCTCCGTTTCTCCGTGTCCCTGTCCCCCCCCACCCCCAACTCCGGGGCGGTGGGGGGGCCCAGGCGAAGATGGCGACGCCGGGAAGCGAACCCCAGCCTTTCGCCCCTGCGCTCTCGGTGTCCGCGCTGCACCCCCATCATCCCCACCACCACCACCACCACCACCATCAGCACCACGGAGGCACCGGCGGCGGCGGCGGCGGCGGCGGTGGGAGCGGAGGGGGCTTCAACCTGCCCTTGAACCGGGGGCTGGAGCGCGCGCTGGAGGAGGCGGCCAACTCCGGGGGCTTGAACCTGAGCGCCCGGAAATTGAAGGAATTCCCCCGCACGGCGGGCCCGGGGCCCGACCTCTCGGACACGGTGCAGGCAGGTGAGAAGGGCCGGGCACGGGGTGGATGGTTGGAAGAGGAGGCGGGGGGCGGGGGGGGGGGGCTCGCCAGGCGCCGCGGCGGCCGGTCCCCCCGTGCGCTCGGGGCCTCGCGCTGTCCCCGAGGCAGGGAGCCGCGTGGGCGCGCGCGCGGCCCGCCCAGCAACCGGGCACCGGGGAGTGGGGGGCGCCTCCCCCGGCCTCGCCCGGCCGCGCCGAGCCGTTGCGCCCGCGGCTCTCGGCGGTTCCACCCGGCCAGGCGACGGGGCGCGGGACGGAGACTCGCGGGGGGCACCGCCTAGGGTGCGCGCCGGTGCCCCGGGGAGGTTGCAGGAGCGGCGGCTTCCCCGGGCTGCGCGCTTTTTTATTTTGTTGCACGTCGAGGCGTGGCCCCGCCGGGTGTGTGTGTGTGTGGGGGGGGGGGACCCCAGACAAAGGTGACCCGTCTTGGGTCTGACCCGGGGACCACCGGCGGCGGCGGGGCGGCGAGGTTCCCCCCTGGAGGACATCCCCGAGCGATCGGGGTGGCCACGCCGAGGAAGTGCCGCCGAGGCTTCTTCCTCTTCCTGAACCGGTGCCAAGCGAGCACCGCCGCAGCGACGGTCGCCACGGGGGCCAATGCGCCGGGCGTCGTGGGGGAAATGGGCTCCAGGCTACCCTGGCCGTCTCGTTTGAGTGAGGGTTCATTGCCCAGGGACTCCTGCGTTCCCGGGTAACTCGGTTTCTGCGGGGGGGTTTGGGGGGGAGGGCCCTGGAAGGGACGGCGGCATGGCCTATGAAAAAAAAAAAAGAAAAGTAATTAAAGCGAGCTGGTTTTCCTGTGTGAGCCTGACAAGTTGTAACTCGCGCCAATGAGCAGCCAGCTTTTTCAAGTTAGGTCATGTGTTGACATTGCTGGGACGTCGACACCCCTTCTCCGGCCCTTGCAGTGACTGGCGTGGATTCTGGAAACAGGAAGGAGGGTGGAAGGGGGACGGGATGTGGGTCTTCAGGGCCCTGCAGAACCGACTCGGTTTCCTACACACCTCTTCAGCAGGGGCATCCGGGGAGGGTTTGCATTTTGTCCAGCGATCTGCATTTCCCAGGGCAGTGGCTTGCCCCCTTTTGGAGTGATGGGCCCAGACTTCCTAGCTGTCATCACCTCCTGGGCCCAGGTGTCAGAGCCCTTGGATCCTGGAGAACTTGATTTTCAGCTGCACAGGGGTGCCCACTTCCTACTTAGAGGGTGGAATGTGGGGAGCAAGCTCCTGGCTTTGCGAAGAGGTTCCTGGGGAGTTGGCCCTTAATTCAATTAACATTTACTGAGAAACCTAATGAATATTCAGATTAGTTATGAATTCACTGAAAGCTAAATAAATGAAAGCAGGGTGGGCAGACTCTTCCTGGCGATTAAACTTTGTCATTTGGATTTAGGAATAGTCAGGAATGGGCAAAATGGGAGGGGATTTCCAGAACTGAGATGTCAACAGCAGGGGACTCTCTTGGTAGGTCATCTTAGTTAACGTTTTCTTAAATGGAAGTTATTCCAAGAATTGCCTGAATCATTAACCTTAAAAAATGTTACTAAATTCTACTTCACCTTTGCCAGAGTGTATACCATAAGCCATGCAAAGGTTGGATGTGACTGTAGAAAATGGAGCTGGCATGGCCCTTCAGAGGGCCTTGGGAAATTGTGCCTGTCCTTTCATGATATCAAAATTTGTTTCCAACATTAATGAACTCCATTCCTCTTCTCCAGGCAGCGAGGTAGCAGAGAGGTTAAGGCACTTGCCATGCTTATGGCTAACGGTTTCTATCCTATTCACATATGGTCCCCAGAACCCTGAACACTGCTGGGTGTGTGTCCCCACTCCCAATATTCCTGATCCTTTTTGCTTGTTTATGGTAGGCTTAGGTTGTGTTTATGCTCCTCATTTGCCCCATTTAATTCTCACAGAACTCTAGCTAGTGAAAATTTAGACTTTTACAGTTAATCTTCTATCAAAAAAAAAAACACAATAGCAGTATTGGAAGTTCATAGTAACTTTGGACAATCCAGTGAAAACAAAGAATATTCAGTGTAGCCAGGGTTTTTGCATGCAATTTGAATATCGAATGTGTATATTTAAAAAAATTTGCTTTTGCAAAGTATCTTTGCCTCAGAATTCTGTATTCTTTCCTTCATTCTAAAGAAATATTTACTGAGCACCGTTCCTTATTTGGAAGAGCCAAAATCAAAATAAAGAAGAGTTAAAAATACCTTCAGTTTGCACAGTGTTGACATTTTCTACATATAAAGAGTTTTAGTAGAGTTGAAAAATATGAGTCGAAACATATACAATGTAGTGGTTTCTCCCTGACTAACAGTTTACGGAATAGCCTTTAAACACAGAATGGCATGTGAAGATCCTCAAATACCTAAAATGCAAAGTGCTTTTTTCCCCCATAATTTTTGTGAGATGGTGGTGTTGGAAACTTTTTTTTTCTTCAAAGTTCTGATGTTTAACACAGACGGTTTATGCCTACAAAAAAAAAATTGGCCATGTATGTGTAGAACTGTATTCTTTGGCAGTACAGCTTATCTCATCTGAGTTGAAAACTCAGATGTATACACTGAAATGCAGAGGCACTGAGCATATCTGTACATGTGTCTAAGCACTGTCATTCAAGTGCATACACATTTCCCAGAGGAGAAAGTCCTCTCAGGCCCTCACTTTGACTCTGAACATTTTGTTGTTGGGGTTTAGTCGTTCTGCAGGTGATAAGGAGAAAGAAGGACTGACCCACACATATGTGCCTGCATAGGAGATGCTAGCTGAAAGGAGAAGTGTGATGAGAAGAGCCTCAATTAGCACTTGGTGTGAGCATCAGTGCCAAGTTCTTTAAATCATTTTTCCCTACTCAGGTGCAGAACAGAAACCTGTTCATATCCTCCTTCACAGTTAGGGGACATAGCAATGTGGAGAATTCTGGTAACATGCTTAATACCATACCCTTGCTTAGATGATGAACCAGGGAGTGGCCCTGGTAGGCTCAACATAGCACAAATTTTTTTGGCCATAGCCCTGTGAAGCAAGAAGGAATGGAGAGGAGCAGAATCTGGACTCTGTGGAGAATCATTCAAGCAACATTAATTCTACAAGTATGTAGCAGCAGGCACCACTAAGTGTGTGAGACACTTTTATAGAAACAAGAAAACAGTAGTGGCCAAAAGAAATTCCTTATATTCCTTCTAGTTGGAGAGAGGAAAAAGTTAAAAAGTGGATTTTGCAAGATGAGTAGGAAGAATTACATTGCAGATGTATTTGTTTAGAATTAAACATTCAGCCTTATAAAAATGTGACTGAGGTAACTTGTAATATTGAGTTAAAATAATGACTAATAATAGACCAAAGCATGACATTGGGCCTGATAAAATGTATCATAAGGTGCAAGAAGACTCTTTCTATAGTGCTGGTTTATTAAGTAGTGTCATTTTGGATAAAGAAGCCCAAAAGATTATTTGCATGATTGAAGTAAAGTAAATTTAAAGGAGAACCGAGAAAAGACCATGTCTATCTGCTGAAGTATGTTTTTAAAAATAAAAAAAAACTTAAATAATGTCTCAGGCGCTTATTGGAAGTCGATTTCATAAAGTCAAGGGGATATTTACTTGTAGAAAAGGTTTCATTAACTAAGAGCTAATCATTTACAATGTTTTTTTTTCTGAGGTAGTGATAAATAGGATAGACTGTAGGAAATGAAGAGTTTCTCTGGGCAGACATTGAGATGGGGAATAACAGACAGTTGGCCGAGGTCTTTAATGTACTAATGCTGAGCACTGCACTGTAGGAAATGCGAGTGTAAGACTAGCCACAAGTACTGGAGGAGCTGACCGAAGACAGGTCAAGGTGAAAAGCCAAGTAGCCTAGTCAACCTTGCGGAATTTAGACAAAAACGATCATTTCCGTTCTGCTCACTAGGAACACATAGCAGAGTCAGGATTTGGTCAGCCTTGTTGGCTGGGTAGGGTATCAGAGAGTCTGCAAACATATATTCTATGCTTGGAAGGATGGTGCATCTGTAGAGTGAAAATCTGATGTCTGGTATCTGCAAATAAAGGTTTTAAGGGTTTCCCTCCTGTGTTTCTCCCACACCTCTGTCACTGTGTGACATGGTAAACAGAGTACAGGGAAATAGCAGAGGCTGGGATTATGGGTGTTGTGTAGAAAGTCTGTAAATTGGGTGTTCTCCATTGCCTAATCAGAGTGCAAGAGCCTTTTCTGAGCTTTGAGAACAGACTTATCTGCTGAGGGTTTACTTCTATGATAGTTGAGTCTTTGCCACAGTAGTACATTTTAGTCACTGGAATTTATTGGTTTTGTGTTTGCTTTTGTTTTGGGGCCACACTTGGCGGTGCTCAGGTCTTTCTCCTGGCTCTGTGCTCGGAGGTCACTTCTGGCAGTGTTGGGGACCATTGTGGCAAAGCCAGCTTGGTCTCTTGTCCTGCACGTTCCTTACCTGCTGTACTTCTAAGGTCGCGGTCACCGGAATTAGATGGGACTTGATAAAGAAATCAGTTTGTTCCCCCAAAACATGTTTTATTCCATCATTTTGGCCATGAAAGATTTTTTTCAAATCACCAATAAAATAAAACTTGAAATCACATTTTCTTAAATGTAAGTTGTTTTTATAGTTTTATGTAATTTTTCTATTTAATTGTATTTATTTGTTACTGCTTAATATTTATTGTGGTAGTCACTTGCAGGTACATACCTATATTCAAACATGCATATAAATACTGCTACATAACAAACCACTAGATGCAACTTTTACTTTTCAATTGCTCTATTGCTTTTCCTTGGGCTGGAGCAATAGCACAGCGGTAGGACGTTTGCTTTGCACGCAGCCAACATGGCCGACCCAAGTTCGATTCCTCCGACCCTCTCGGAGAGTCCGGCAAGCTACCGAGAGTATCTTGCCAGCACGGCAGAGCCTGGCAAGCTACCCGTGATGTATTCGATATGCCAAACACAGTAACAACA